ATTCACCTGAGAGTTAACATATTCGTAAGAAAGTTAACATATTTAGGTGAGAGTTAACTTGTTCAAGTGAATGTTAACATGGTTCATGTTAACGTCAACATGTTCAGTTGAAAGTTAACATGCGCAGCTGAACTAACATATTCAGCTATGAGTTAACATATTCTTGTGAAAGTTAACATGTACAACTGAGAGTTAACGTGTTCAGATGAAAGTTAACAAGGTCGTGTATGAAGTCAACATTTTCATCTGACGATTTTCCTTTTTAGCAGAAAGTTTTTCAGCTGAAAGTTATCATAGTGCCGAGATAGTTAACAGGATACACAAATAGAATACCTCAGCTAAACAAAATGCACAATATCAACTTTTTAGCAGCATATTATCATTTTGTTTTCCTTTCTGGTGATTTCGTCATCATAAATTAAAGATTTGTCTTGATACAAAATATATTCATCTGAAAGTTAACATATAAAGATGAAAGTTAATATGTTCAGCTGAGTGGTAACTTGTTCAAGTGAAAGTTAACATGATTCATGCTAACGTCAACATGTTCATATGAAAGTTAACATATACTGCTGAAAGTTAACATTTTCAGCTGATAGTTAACGTGTGCAACTAAAAGTTAACATGATCATGTTAAAGTTAACATGTTTAGCTGAGAGTTAACGTGTTCATGCGAAAGTTAACATGACCATATTAAAGTCAAAAATTTTGGCTGACAGTTAACCTTTTCAGCTGAAAGTTATTATAATACTGAGATAATTAACAAGAAACATAAACATAATACCTCAGCTAAACAAGTACATTACACAAAACTTCTTACATTCTTGCAGCTGATATTACTTAAATACACAATATGATTAGTCTTATAACTTCACAGATTACAAAAGTCTTCTACAATATACTGCAAAATTCTAGACAACCTATAATTCTCTAACAAAAATATTATTGTCAGTCCACACTAATCACCGATTGGCTCGTTGCAAGTTTCTCGATTGTGACCCTCAACTTTGCATCGAGAATATTTCATTGGATGTTTGTAAATGGTTCTATTGTTTATGCGTCTAGTTCTATTTCTTCTCTTCCTCTTAGTGGTAATTGGTGGCAAAATTTGGATTTCATCCCTTGGCACACTCTGCTTCTCATAATCTAGTATGGGACAAAGGATTTTGTCATAGCTCTTCTTAAATGCTTCTACGTACATAAACCAATCACAATATTGACATACATCTCTTTTCATATAAATAATGATTGCACAAGCATGCACATAAGAAATACATGTTACGTCCCAAGCTCGGCAAGTGCATGACCTCTTCTCCAAATCAATATGAGAGTTCTATGTGATTGCACTTCGAATATATCATCTCTAGATTGCTTAATCTCTAAAGTATATCGTTTTTTTTCATATTTTCTCTAACAATCTGCTCAGCTTTAGGACAAAGATAACCACTCCACTTATCAGCCATTATGCGTCTGTTGTTCATGCGAACCATAATTTGTTTTCGGATATGCTCCACCATTTATAGTACACGTAATAATCGAGCTTCACGTATCCAGCTGTTAAAGAATTCTGTGATATTAGAGGTCACATGACCATATCTGCAAACATCAAAATAATAAAAAGTATGATGCATACAATATATAATAAAATTAACACGTAACTATAAAACTTAACAGTTAAGAATAAAAGTTAACATAGAAACCCAAAACCTAACACATAATGATGAAAGTTAACATATACTAGCTATAGTTAATCTATACAAAGGAAACTTAACATATATGCGAGAGAGTTAACATCTACCACAAAACGTTATAATTATTGAATGCAGTACCTAATGTCAGGGAAGAATGCATTTGCCCACTGCTCTGGTGAGTAATTAATTACAATCTCATATGCAGCTGGAGACATCTTATAAATTTCCTTTATGTAGTCGTTCCATTCCGCTATAGTATATTTATAGCAAGCAGATTGGAGCAAATTCCCCAAAACTTGTGTGTCTTTTGCCTTCATTCCCAAATTCTTTAGCTTTGATCTAAAATTTTTAACCAGGTCCAGAACACATCTTGAGTGAATTGCTTCAGGAACATATTCTCTCACAACTTCTCGAAGCCCCTTGTCGACATTAAAAATAATTACCAATTGGTGGGGAGGATTGTATGGGTCTGATCGTTCATACAGTATAGACCAAAGGCCTTGAAGGAACCATCTCCAATTAGCTACATTTTCCTGATCGCATATGCAATACGCAAGTGGAAATATCTCTTGTTCTCCGTCGTATGCTATGGCGCTGAGGAGCATGCCTTTGTATCTGTCCGTCAAAAATGTCCCATCCAAAAATAATAGGGGTCTACATCTATTTAAGAAACCAATGATGCAAGCAGCATAACATATGAACAGTCTTTTGAACCTTCCTTCATTATGCTCAATGCAAATGTAGCTTCCTGGATTCGTTTCCTTCACCATTTGCTCATACATGTACATCAATGTCATCCCATTTCATATAAATATAATACATTAGAGTAAATAAGTATTAATTTTTTAAATTTACCGTCTAACAGTGAAAGTTAACATGTAACTGTTAAAGGTATTATCTAACTGAGATAACATCTTAACATGAAAGCTAACATTTATTCATGAAATATAACATCCCACGGTGACAACTGAAATATATCAATGGAACTTAACATGAAACGTCTAAGGTTAATATATTGCACGATAAATTGATAAGTAACATTGTACTATCAGCGGCTACCAATAAAATTTGTATATTTAATAAAAGAACTGTAAAATTTACCATCTTAATTGATCATAAGACTCATAACTATCACCGAACATATCCTCTTGTGCTCTTTCTTTGCCCCACCATATCTTACTATATTCCAGTCTTAATCTATATCGAGTAAGAAACCCCTTTTGCACATCAATTGGGTGGATTTCGGGCCGAATCTTTAACACATGTCACAATTAGGCTGCTATGAATTTGCGAGAAGTCTGTGATTGCCCTGACAAGTTAGTATGTTGTCCACAACTATGTTCATTCACAAACCTTTTGATTTCAATTATGTTCTTATTTTTAACAAGAGAGACAAATCACATCCAAGGGCTTCCATATGTCTCCTTATATCGACAATAAACACGGATACATTTGGGTTCATTCTTTGCAAATTCATAGTTAAGCTTTTTCACCATAGAATAGTATTGCAAAGCTAGTCTCAATTCATTTACAGTTTCAAATTGTTGCCCCTTTTCAGTTAATGTTGTGTGCCACCATTGAGGAATGATGAAAGTGTTGTTGAGAATATCATCAGCTCTCATTACATTCTCACCAAACGGGCAATCATTTTGGATTCTCTCTGAATTAGAAGCATTTCCTGGAGGAGGATGACTATATTATGCATTCAAAGAGGCATCACTGCTATACAAATTAATGAACCAGTGAGATATCATATTCAACTATAGTATAATATTATCTTCTAATATTTTAAATTAACAGCTTATTATGTAAACTAACAGGTAACTATGAGCGTTAACTTACTACGAGTAAAATTAACATGTTTCGGTAAAACTTAACATAAAGCAGTGGAATTTAGCAGACTATAGGCATAGTTAACACGCTACGAGGAAAGTTAACAACTTCATGAAAAAGCTAACATGTTCACGTGAAAGTTAAATGTTCTTGCAAAAGTTAACATATCTCATTGAAACTTAACATTTTATCAATAAGAGTTAACATCTAACCATTAGAGATGACAACTATATTTTTCTACTGTGCATTGAAACCTAAAATCACAACTATGTTTTAAAAAGAATTCATTGACTACTTACATTTCAGTAATAACTTTCTGATTTTTTTTCAGAAGTAGAACACTCTATATTAACAACAGCTTGCATGTGAATCTCCGTACGACTAGTATTTCGATTATGTTCCAACATGCACTTAAAATCATCTTCATTATCAACTGAAAAACTCAGGTTCGGGTGCCTCTCATATTTATATATATATATCTTGAGATACTTTCAGTCTTTCAGACACATCAAATTTCAGTTCAAAAAAGCTTGTTGTAGAACTTAGCATCAAGAAGGTAGCATTCTCACCTAACGACACCATGCAAATCAAGTCTTTGGTGGCCATTGGGGTTGTTGAAAGTTATGAGGATGGTTATGAGGAGCAATTGAGAGAATTTTTTGCGCATAAGTGGTTGTTGAAAGTTGAAGAATAAAAACCCTAATATCATAAATGAGAAAGTGAGAGATAGAACAATAAAATATATAACTTATGATGAAACCAACCTGTAATGGAGGGAACCTGCGTTTTGTTCCCCCACTTTTCGCCGTCGATTCGCATTAACTGCGATGGTAAGGATCACCGGGTTGATGGTCAAGGAGTCGGTTCCTAGGTGAGAGAAGATGGCGTTTTGGGTAGGTTGGTGAAAATATAGAGTACATGTATAAAAGTGGGCTTTTGAGGGTGGGCCATACTTTTAACTCTCTTTTGGGGCTAAAGAGTAAGGGAAAAAGTTGCTGGGCTGGGTCACATCAGCTTCTTCATTTTGGGGCCTTATATATGCACTTATGTCAACTTATGTGGACAAGTCCTTCTCTTCTCCCAGTCTTTCCTCCCCCTCTCTCTCGTCCTCCATCTTCCTCCCTGACGTCCTGCTCTCCCATTCCTTCCAAGTAGGAACTAGAATTAGGGTTAGGGTTAGGGTTTGGAGGAGGTGGCGGCTAGGGGTTAAGGTTATGGTTTTGCGTGAGGTTGCGGCCATGTGCTAAGGTTAGGGTTTGTAGAAGAGGAGGACGGAGGAGGCCAGGGTTAGGGTTAGGGGTTGGAAGGAATAAGATAGAGGTAATGAGAATATTTGACTTTTTGTGGGTGAATGGTAAAAAAAGGTGTGATATTCCAAATATGTTAGTAAGTAAAGATGATTTACATTAAAAAAACTTTAAAGGTGATAAGTATCAATTTGGATAAAAGTAAAGATGGTTTTGATGTAAAAACCTTAAGAAAAATTAAAATCTAGGAGTGGCTTCCTCTATTTGTGTGTGAGGTTCTAATAATAACCTCCTTAGCCTAAAAACTAAAAACCAATATCATCCATTGGATCTAGATGAATCCAATGGCTGGGAGTCAGTCAAACAGTCAACAGACACATGCATTAATTACCTTAACGAACACAAATCTGGATTCACTGCAGTGAATCTGGATTCACTGCAGTGAAAAACATGTTCGTTGAGGTAATGAATCTGGATTCACTGCAGTGAAAAACATGTTCGTTGAGGTAATGAATCTGGATTCACTGCAGTGAATCTGGATTCACTTCAGTGAATCTGGATTCAATGCAGTGAATCTGGATTCACTGCAGTGAATCTGGATTCACTGTAGTAAAGGACGTGTTCGTTGAGGTAATAAATCTGGATTCACTGTACTGAATCTGGATTCACTGCGTTGGGGTAATTAATGCATGTGTTTAATGAGGTAATTAATGCATGTGTCAGTTGACTGTTTGACTGAATCTTAGCCATTAGATGATATTGGTTTTTAGTTTTTAGGCTAAGGAGGTTTTTATTAGAACCTCCTTCTATTAATGCATGTGTTTAATGAGGTAATTAATGCATGTGTCAGTTGACTGTTTGACTGAATCTTAGCCATTAGATGATATTGGTTTTTAGTTTTTAGGCTAAGGAGGTTTTTATTAGAACCTCCTTCTATATATATATATATATATATATATATATATATATAT